GTAAGGGGTGGGGGTGGGGATGCTTCACAGAAGCGGAGTGTAGGTAAACATATATTTAACAACCCATTAAAATAAAACCAAACGCAGGAAATCGCATCTACTTTATTAAAAAAATTTGTGGGGAGGACCCCCAGACCCCCGCACCACCGGCTCGACTGCTATTGGCATTCCGGCATCGATCGGTTTACAAATTAAGCCCTGCTAACAACCGATCCTTAGTGCCCTGATGTCCGCTTGCTACTCACAGACGGCTGAGTGATACTAAAAATAGCATTAAGAATGAAAAAGGGCATTAAACAGGGGCAGAGCCTCCGTGCCCAACTGGCTCCCTTTTACAATGCTGTTATTGCGAGTATCACTCAGCCCTCTGTGAATAGCAAGCGGACATCAGGGCACTAACGATAAGTCGTTAGGCTGATGGTCCTCTATCTTGTGAACAACTAGTTCTGGATGTCCACAACAAAGTGTTGATCCACTGTGAGAAGGTGCTATTTATAAGACTGAGCTTGTTGCAGCTCCTCAGACTGAAGAAGTCCTTTGGATAAAAGACGAAACGTTTCAACAAATAAAGAATCCTCCAGAGGACCGGACTTAACTTTTTTAGATACAACACTCGATCCTCTCAGTATCTGAGGTTAACAACTCTAAAGACCAAATCTGGCTTTGGCTCTGCTGCTCCAGCTGACTGGAAGCTTTGACCTCAATCGTCTTAGTTTATAGTTGAAAAAATTATTTAAAATACATTTTTAAAGATGCATGCAAACGTTTTCATGCTTACCAATGTTGTCGTTTGACTGACGACGAACTGTTAATGTAATTTGTGATTGCCTTGTTTGTTAGTGACGTCTATATTTTACTGTTTGTTTCCCTTCCGTTGACCCTACAAGTAGCTGTTGGTGCTGCCAGGCCAGCTCTGTAAATAAGAATGAGTTTGTGGTGTTTATGCCTGACTAAAGAAAGGTTAAATGAAAATGAAATGGTCCTGGAGGACCACTATCATGCATGTTTTACCATTTCCCCTGCTCCATCACACCTAGACTTTGAATCACTACTTCATGTTCTTCAGTAGTCCGTCAATTATCCGTTCATTCAAATCAAATGTGTTGGTGCAAAGAAACATTGAGAACATGCAGGACAGTGGCCCCTTGAGAATCAGGATTGGACAACTACACCAGGGGTGTCCAGCGGGCCACTACCCTGCAGGTTTTAGATGTTTCTTTGCTCCAAGACACTTGGTTCAACGATTGACGCTCATGTTCAGCCGAAGTCTGTTCACCGCCCATTGATTTGACCACATTCGTGCCTCCTGGTAATATTTACAGCGATACGCCCGTTTCTGCTACTTTAAATACCGTCGGTTCTCTTCCGTGGCTGAGCTCACCTCCAGGATGCGATCTCCAGGCTGAAGCCGGCCATCTTTGACTGCGGCGCCGCGAGGCAGGATGTTCTTAATCAAAATTGGCCCTGGCCCGTGAACCGTAGAGTCCCTGGTCACCACAGTGAAGCCCAAGCCCTCGGTGCCTGTTCGGGGAACAAAGCAGCGTCACAGTGTATCCGAGACATTTTTACCCTTAATTAAGCTTTTTATGACTTTTTATTTCCATTTTAATAGAATTCTTCCGCTCATCTCCCTGTTGAAACAATTTTCTCCTTCCTTTCTTCTAATAAATCACCTGCTGAACCCAGACTGCGGTTTTAGCGTCGCCCTCCGCATTAACTAGTATTTAAGCGCTCGTTTCCCTGAGGGGGGTTAGGTGCCCGGCTCAGGAGCAGGCGTCTCTCTTAGCTGGATTAGACAGACTTTAATTTCATGTGTGAGCACGTCGAACCGTGGCTGACGAAGAGGAGCGGAGGGAGAGTTTGGAAAGACGGGGGACAGAAGATACTACTCTTGCTTCCCCCTCCCCTGAGGATGTGGTGATTTCCTCGAAGATTCTTCTGGTTTTGTGAGCTTATGTTGACTTCCTGTGTGTACTCACTCGTGAGCGTGTGTGTTTCTGAGGCCACACGTGAGCCTCCTCCTCCTCCTCCCTCTTTCACGGCCCCACAAGCCCCAAGCCATGAGTGAAATGTGCCACGCTCGGTGTAAGGCTGCGTGTGGATGTGTGTGTGCGGGGAAAGCAAAGCCACCGTGGCATACTAAAGGCGGTGAAAGATGCTATCTGGTCTCCGAGCTAAGCCTCTGCCTGCCCTACATTAGCGCACCTAAACCTCCCCGCCTGCCAATCATGGAGAGAAAGCGCCTGTTGCAGAGGGAGGGTGTTAGAAACCCAATAATACCCTCTGCTCTGATCTCGCATCAGGTGCAAAGGGATAGAGAGGCAAGGAAGAAATGAAAAATCAAACAAAAGGATGGAGAAAAAGGGGGTGTATGAAAAGAACGAAGCCGACAATGAAACAAGCGTGAACTGGTCTATCAGATAAAGCTGGAGAGAGATGGGCAAACTTTCACCTGCACTGATCTGGATACCCGCCGTGAGCGGCTGTAGTCCAATTACGGCCATCTTTTTTAAATAATCCACATCACTACAAGCTGATGTTGAAAATATTGTTTTTGTTCATCAAAGGCGGCGCAGAGTAACAGATCCTGGAGCGTGGAGGGACTAATTTTATCCACCACCAGATGCAAGGGCAGCGCCAAGGGGTGGCCAGTGGTAGCCTTGATCACCGTAGTGCAATCTTTGGCCACCCCAATCATTAGAGCATTCCTGCAAACTCACAAGGGATGAAAAGGGTGAGGTTTTGTGATTTTTAACAAGTAAATTAAGCATCCTGGTATACTCCAAGAAGAAAAATAGGGGAAAAGACAACATGCCTCAGGTAAAAATGACATTTACTAACAAATCACAATTGATTTAAGATAAATAAGGATATGAAAGATGGCTAGTCAACCAAAAAAATAAATAAAAATAAACAAGCAATAAAAGCAGCAAGCCAAGCAGAGAAACCAAACATAGCATTTTTCCAATAGCAAAAACTGATTTCTTAAATACGTAGCGCTAAGCTAGCAGCGTGCAATACAGATGCGCTAGCCAAAGAGACTTCCCCTTCTTTAATGCATCCTAACCGCCACCCTCCACCACAGACAACTGCTGGCACTTAAGTGGTGCTAACCTAGTACTGCATACGTGCGCTAACTTCGCACTTATGAGATAGAGCGAGCTTTGTTGCTAATCCCAATTTATTTAAGATACATTAAAATATGAAAGATGGCGTCAACCAAAAAATAAAAACATAAACAAGCAACAAAAGCAAAAAGCCAGGCAGAGAAACCAAATATAGAAAAGTATTTTGTTAATAGCAAAAACAGATTTCTTAAATACGTAGCACTAAGCTAGCAGCGCACAATACAGACGTGCTAGCCAAAGATGCTAGAGACGTAGCGCTCCTCTTCTCCAATGCATCTTAACCCCCCCCACCCCCAACCTCCATTGCCGACAACTGCCGGCATTTAAGTGGTGCTAACCTAGTGCTACATAAGTGTGCTAACGTAGCGCTTACGAGCTAGAGCGAGCTTTGTTGCAAAAACAGGTTTTGAGCTAGCTAGCGCGTCTTGCGTAGCGCTAGCTTAGCACTACATAAGTCCAGTCAATGGGAAATCATGCCATCTACCATGCCTCTGACACACACCCCCCAAAAAAAAATCTTCAGATCTACATGATTCACATAAATTACATATTTTTGATTGATTTCAGCAAAATTCGTCGATAAGCAACAAGTTTGCATGTATGTTTGAGAAAACTATACTTTTAAACAATATAAAAACTAGAAAGCATGGTTTCCACAAATGAGTGGGGGTGTCGGTTTACAAATATATACATGGCAGTGGCCAGTTTGGATTTTGATGTGGAAACCTGATTTTTGATAATGGCCTTTCTTATGTCTAGATGAAGCCACACACCAAAAATAGAAGTCAGTAGCTTACTTATTTGTCAATTCATCATGCTCAAAACATGAATGGATGGACGGTATTTCAGATTTTGGAAAGTCCGCGACAAGGGACAAAAAGCTACTCGCCATAAGAACCGGACCCTTGACTATCAGCAGTCTAGCATTAAAGGATGTGAGATGACTGCTTTGCCAGTTTGATTCAGTCTGGGTAAGAATCTAAAAGCCCAACAATTCATATACAGTCCAGTCTAGATCTGGTTGGTAAATTCACCAATGAAGCAACATGGCAACAACTATTTACCTTTCTTTAGGTCAATTTTTATCCTCTTGCCGCCCTTCTTGTTTGTAAGGTTCGACAGTCCAGGCAAAGTAGAACTCTTACTGGCCAGAGGGCTTTGGTTTGGGTTGGTCATCCTGAATGTTGGTGAGGTACCCCCTGCTCCAGGTGGAGGTGTGGGAGAACCTCTCTCCAATGTCCCGTGTCCAGACTGGAGCTGCACTGGTGATGCGTTCCGCAGAGCAGGCTCTGGAGTCCTCACACGTGTTTCCGGTCGCTTGATGTCAACTTTGGGGTTCGGTTTGGTTTTGGGTTGGGCGTCGGGCAGAGCGCGAACAACCATCGGGCTCTTTGTTAATAAAGTAGAGTCTTTGTCGTCGCTGGAGAAAATCTGGCCTATCAGGCGCTTCTCGTAGCGGGACTTGTTGGCTACGGGGAGGACCTCCACTTGCACAGAAGACGCCGCCATGGCTTTTTGGAACACCTTCTGAGATCTATAGAAAGAAAAGTCAGGATTTACATTTTTTTGACATTCAAATCTGTAACATGGATCAGAATAGGGAAACATCAAAGCTACAAAATTATTGAATAAGAAAAAAAATGAGGAGGGTGACAGAAGCCCATGGATATCTAATGGTGCTGTATTTATTCTTGGTTGGAGAACAAAAACTCTTCCAGCTGGTCTAGGACATTGAGGTCCCTATCAGATGGAAAGACCTTCCAACAGTCCTTCCAATTCAGCTCTAATAGACTAGTCAGACAACATGGCAGGATGGATGCTGTTAGACTGAACTATTCTATTTTACCTCAGAGAAAGAGACTGGAGGAAACAAAAAAATGAGCAGTTTACCCTGAAAAGCGAAAAAATAAGGAACAGGAAAAGTAATCTTTTAGAGGAGATGGAGGGAGATGGGACTGGACAGAGAAAGTGAAGGACTTAAATGGTTGTTGGAGGTCAACACTGACTATACAGCAAAAGTAAGGTGTCCACACAAGGTAGACTAAAACCACCCTACAGAGGAAGTTCAGTACAGCCAAGGCTCTCATTCATTTAGTCGTGATCCATATCTCATGACCATAGGTGAGGTTTGGAAGTAGATGGACCAGTAAATCAAGATGTTTGCGTTTCAGGTCAGCTCCTTTTTCCACAACAAGACCATTGGAACGTGCTTATTATCGCAGATGAGGCACAGAGTTGTCAATTTATCTAGTTTCTTTTTTTTTTTTTTCTTTCTTTCATACGGTCCCTCTTCAGGTCTCCACAGCGAGCCATCCCCCTCCATTTATTTCCTCTGCATCCTCTGTCCACACTCTAACCGCTTCCATATCCTCTCTAGCTGCATCCATAGATATCCTCTTTCTCTTGTTCATGACAGCTGCGTTTCTAACATCCTTCTACCAAAATACTCACTGTCCCTCCTCTGGACATGTCCAAACCATCTCAGTCTGGCCTCTCTAACTTTATCTACCAGTTGTTCAACCTGTGCTGTACCTCTGATGATCTCATTCCTAATCTTATCCATCCTTGTCACTCCTAAGGAGAACCTCAACATCTTCACTTCTGCCACTTCCAGTTCTTTCTCCTGTCTTTTTGTCCATGTCTCTGTCTCCAGATCATACAACATAGCTGGTCTCACCACTGTCTTGTAAACTTTTCCTTTGACCTTATTGACACCCTTTTGTCACAAATCACTCCTGAAACTTTTCTCCATCCACTCCATCCTGCCTGGACTCTTTTTTTCACCTCTTTACCACACTCCCCATTTTCCGGGACAGTGGACCCCAAGTCCTTGAAGTCCTGCACCTTTGTGACCTCTGCTCTTTGTAGCCTCACTGTTCCACCGGCCTCCCTCTCATTCACACATGTACTCTGTCTAACTACGGCTGACTTTCATTCCTCTTCTTTTAAGTGCATACCTCCACCTCTCTGAGCTCTCTTCCACCTGTTCCCTGTTCTCACCACAGATCACAATGTCATCTCACAATAATCCATCTCCAGCTCCATCTTGAAAGTACTCCTGAACAAAACTCCCAGACACTGAAATTGCTCACATCCAATCTTTTTTTTCCCCCAGTTTTGTAGATACAGGGTTTTAATTATTATTATTATTATCCAACATTATCGTTTGTTAAAAGGCTAAAATTAGATTTAATAACGAAAACTAATTGAATCTGACTCATTAAGCACTCAAAATACCTAGAGATTTCTTGGCAGGGAATAAAAAGAATGAACAGATAACACCATACTCGTGCACAGTTGGCTTCGGGCAGATGGTATGACGGGGTTTGAACAATTCACATTCGTGTTCAACTTTTTGTTTGCTCATTATATACAAGACTTAAAGGGATCAGAATACTGGAACTCGCTACGAGTTGTTTGGTACAACCACATGCTATACATTCCTAATCACTCTGATTCCCTGCCAGATTTCCTCCCCATCACGAATCTTTATTCTCATCTCTGGAACCCTTCATATTCAGTTGTATGTTCTGGTTTGTTCTAAATGCTCCTGGTTTTGTAAGAAAAAAAAGAACAGAGAGCTCTACTCAGAGGTGCTTTCTGTGTTAATCGTTTGCAGGAACGCCAGCTCGTCCCACGACTCTTACTCTGCAAAGGTTTTGTCCTGGAGTGGCGTGTCGTTGATTTGGACGATGCACTCGTCCTCCTTGAAGAGATTCTCCCTTCTCGAGCGGCTGTTTACCTCGACGCCTTTAATGTGAAGGCCCAGAGTTCTGGAGGAAAGAAACGAACGCCGTTAAATGCATGCGATGCATGGACATTTTCTTTTCTTACAGGAGTACACATTGCCATCTGCCCAATCTTGGTGATCGTCAGTGTGTGTTTGCTTACCTTCCGCTGAGAGAGGAGCAGTAAGGGACCACGTGGATACCCAGGGGGCCCCGGTCACCCGGGAACTCGACTGTCTTCGTCAGAGCACTGCCAAAAAAATAAATCTGCGATAAGGCGCAAACCAACGCACACACTCCCTGCTTCCTAAAGGCTCTTCAAAGCTCATTTGCATTTTCCTCCAGGCAACACAGATAGAGCTACAAATTAGCTTACAGGTAGTCCTGCCAAACGTTACGATACGCGGCTACTTCACCTCGTATCCAACTGCGGCTCAACTACTCAGTGTAGCTGACGGACAAGAGAGAGGAGCAGGAGATGAAACAGAATGAGCTTCTCTAATAATCTCTGCAGAGTTCTGAAGTGTTGCTTCGAGCAGCAGATAAATAAGGACAAGCGCACGCTGCACATCAACAGGATGAGGGTTTGATTTTAATTTCTGCTGGAGACAACGACAAGCTTGACGTACGATCTATAAGTGCACTTTTTATTTATATGTTCTGTCAATAAAGCAAAATATTGTTCATATACGTTTCTAAAAGTCCACTTGGTTTTACACCCAAATTAAACCAATATGTAACGCTGAATGTTTGAAGGGCAACACGATAAATATTTTCAACCTCCGGACCAAGGGTTGAATGTAGAGGGCTTGTTTTGTGTTTAGCGCAAAAATAGAATTGAAATAAAACTGTCTAAAGAAAAAAGCATTGGTTACAGGGTGCGTTGACGCCTGCAGAAAACGTGCACGAGGTGAAACCAAGGCGGTTTCACCAGCGGTCCATCGCCCACCTACTTAAATTTGCAGAAGATAAAAATCAAAGCTACAACGTTAGTAAAAAAAACAAACCATCTAAGACTTGAACAGGCCTGAAAACAAAAACATGAAGTTCAAGACACCAAAGTCCATGCGCAATAATCCAGGTATAAAATCCAACCATTTTCATTCAGGTCATCTGGACGGTTTCTTTTTTTGTGCAGAGACGTTTCGCCCTCCATCCAGAAGGCTTCATCAGTCTGAGGAGACACCAAAAAAACTGCTTTTTCTTTAACAGTCTCCAAATTGGAAAAAATCTGTTATGTTGGTGCTAAGATGGTCTCTGGGGCACGCCCTATCCTCCAGTGCCCGTACCCTCCATCGTCGACAACATTTATACCTGGATTATTGAGCATGGACTTTGGTGTTTTGAACCAGTTTGACATGACTGTCAACGAGGGACAGGGCAGGAACCGGAGGAGAGGGCGTGCCCCAGAGACCATCTTAGCACCAACCTAACTGGTTTGTTCCACTTTGGAGTAAGCTGCTGGGGGAGAAGCAGTTTTGTTTGGTGTTTCCTCAGACCGATGAAGCCTTCTGGATGGAGGGCGAAACGTCTCAGTATAAAAAAAAAACGTCCAGATGACCTGACTGAACATTACTGGATGAAGTTCAAGGTTTATGCCAAAGACTAGCTGGGATCTTTACAAAGCGCACCCCCCCCCCCCCCCCCCACTGTAGCCCTGATCTCGTTAACCTCTGTCAGGGCCACATATACTGTACACATCCACACACACACACACATCTAATTTGCATTCTTATTGCTGCACGTATTGCACGCTCAAACACCATCAGTCACTTTCCTGTAAATTGAACACTCAGAAACACACATGCATCACATTTACATCTATTAGAGAACACACTGAAATTACTCAAACCCATGATTTGCAAACTTCTTTCTTCCCCGTTTGTGACAATAACAAAGGTACAAAGATATCTCTGAATGATGGAAATGCATTCACAGTGCGTGTTTGTGTGTGTGATGGAAATAAAACACACAAACAGCTTCAGCCCATTTACATTCATATAAAAACAAACAGCCGCACAAACAAGCTCATCAGAGGCAACCGTAGCTTGTTAGCGCCGCACGCTAATATGCAGAATAGCTCCGCTCCCCGTTTTAGCATCCCACTGACACAAACACAAACAAACACAGGCACTCCACTGTGGAGAAGGGGGGGGGGGGGATGAAAGGAACAGCTAGACAGATGGACCTCTCTCTCGTCGTCGACTTCCCCAACATCGACGGAGGCCAGGAGCCTGACAAACCTGCGGCCTGAACCGTGGAAAAAATGTGTCCTCTATCACTTACTGCAGTGTCTTCTGCTGCCAACCATCTGTTATTGTGGCGAACGCTCTCTGACAGCTTCGCCTGCATTGTTTCTCAGTGCTGTCAGGACACCCCTGTCCTGTAAAAGTCTGAAAAATCACCGTCTATCCCTGCAGTCCAGTGCTCACCCCCTGAGCACCTGTGGTTCCCTCCAGTTATTTTTAAGGGAGCTGTTCTGTAATCGGCAGAGGATGCTCTCGGAGTGATTTGGACTCGTTGAGAGCTCGAGGGACGAAGCAGGCTGTGATGGAGGGCCTGAACGTCATCATGGTTACAGTTTGACAGACAGTCTGTAAAAATATGAAATCTGAACTCCCATGGAGGTCTGAAGTCTCTGAAAAATGTTTCTCGTTCTTCTGTTCACCCAGACAGTAAGGATCCATCCATCTATCGTATGCCACTTGTTCCAGAGTCAGGGCAGCAGTTCGAGCAGGGAGGTCCAGACATTTCCACAGCCAACTCTTCCAGCTCCTCTGGGAGGACCTCAAGACGTTCCAAGGTCAACCAACAGACATAGTCTCTCCATCGTGTCCTGGATCTTCCTCTGGGTTTCCTCCAGTTCGACAGGCCATATGTAACAGGTAAAATTAAAAACTGCCCAGATAAATACCCGATATAAATTGGCCCATGCCAGAGCATACCATGAGGGATAAACTTTCCTAGGCCAAACTGTACCTGGGGCTGTAAAATTGTGTAGGCCAGACTATACCCATCTACAATATATACCCATAAACTGACATAATCTGTGGGGTATGAAATGGTCTAGGCCATAGTATACCCTATGTATTATCTAGCCTGGGCACACAGACCCCAGGTACAGTCTGAACTGGGGGGTATGCAATGGCCTGTTACACCTCCAAGGTGACCAGGGTCCATCCTTACCAGATGTCTGAACCACCTCAACTGATTCCTCTGGATAGAGGAACAGCAGTTCAACTCCAAGTCTCTGCTGGAGAACTGAACTTTTCACCCTACCTCTAAGAGAGAGTCCAGCTACCTTGTAGAGAAAACTCATTTAGACCCCTTGGATCCATGGTCTGGTTCTTTAGGTCACTACACAGAGCTCCGGACCACAGGTGAGGGAAGGAACGTAGACCGACAGGTAAACAGAGAGCTTCTCCTAACAGCTCAACTCCCTCTTCACCACAACGGACCGGCTCAGAGACCACAATACTACAGAAGCTGCGCCGACACAAAAATCCCCTCAACATGAGGTCACATTTAAAGCACAACTCTGTCTGACAAACAGTTTCTTTATGGTAAGGTCAGACTTTTTGGAATGGGGTTCTATGAGAAGGTTGTGGATAATTAATGCTTTACGAACTGTAGACAACTCTTTAAAGTAGCAAACGGTGGGAAATAAAGAGTTTTAATTAGACACGACTGACAAGTTGAAGGCAAGTCTTAGCAGGGACAGCATCAAAGTGGATATTAAAACTTTAATCTCAAAACTCCAACTCTTGGGGGTCATTTCTTATAAACCATTATGCTTGCATCAATTTCAGCAGTAGGGGCGGCTGTGGCTGAGTGGTTAGAGCAGTTGTCCTCCAATGCAAGAGTTGGGGGTTCGACTCCACCAGCAGTCACATGCTGAAGTGTCCCTGGGCAAGACACTGAACCCCTCATAGCCTCTGATGTGTGTCCCATCAGTGTTTGAATATGATCTAAAGCTCTGATTAGTCTCTTAAGAATGATTTGTTCAATTAGCTTTGTAGAGATCTAGTAGAGTGCTGTATGAATGGGTCAATGAGGACACAGATTGTGTTGTAAAGCGCTTTGAGTATCTTGAAATAAGATAGAGAGGCGCTATATAAGCACAGTCCATTTACCATTTATGTATGTAATCATTTGTGTAAGATGAAATGTTTTCATTAATATGATGAAACCCAAGTCAAAGAGGTCAAAGAATAAAAGTCCAGCTTCCATTTATAGAAAAGCAGTTTTGTTCAATTAAATTATCTTGAGCGGATCAGAAGTTCAAGATCTTGAACTTTTGTTTTGTCTTTTTTTCCCCACTGAAACCATTTTTTAAACTTTTGGACATTTGTTATGATGCGTAACCATGGCAACGAGGTGTTTTTTAACAACCAGAAGCAGCTGATTAACATCTCAAACTCAAATACAGCCCCAAATCCCAAATGAGTTGAAAAGGGGGCGCCGTGGACGAATTCCCGTCAACCTGGCGGCGGTGCTAGAGTACCTGACCGCCGAGATCCTGGAGCTAGTGATAAACTCGACTTGTAACAACTGGAGGACCAAGATCATCCCCTGGCACCTTCAGCTGCCTGTCTGTGGCGACAAGGAGCTCGGCAGACTGATGGGAGGAGTGACCATCACTCAGGGAAGAATTCTGCCCGGCATTCGGGCAGTCCTGCTGTCCAGTGGGACCAAGAGGCCCGCTGGATGTGACAGCAAGCTGGATCCGGGTGGGCGGATCGGTATCTGTGGCCAGATTATTCGGATTCACTGCAGGAGATCCCTCCTGCCCACAGTTATCAGCATTTAACAACTCTTTAATGGAACCAGGCTGAGCTATGACAACAACTCTTAATTTCCCTTTGGGATTTTCTTTCTTTCCTTCTTTATTTTTAAGTTAAGGCCCCGACAAGCAAAGTATTCGTCTTGAGTTTTGACCTAAATTTGTGACCTTGACCACAAAGCGTGGGCGATGAAAAGTGTATGCAACGCTCCGGCTAGTGACGATGCACATCTGTGTCAAGTTTCATTAAATTATTTAGAGGCTATGGTGGGACAAGAGAAGGTTTAGGGACAAATGGATACTTTACTAAAACACATCCGTCTTTTGTCGGGTATAAAAAAAACAAAATAATAATAAAAATGCACCCACAACAACAGAATTTCCACACACATATACGACTATCACGCACACACTCATGAGAGGGTTTAATCCAGTCTGAGTGTCCAGCTACCAAACAAAGACAGGACTGCTAATCCCAGTCTCCATCAGTGCTTAGGGATGCGTTACACAAAACATACACACTTACGAGAAGTGAACTTTCGGGCTCATTTTGGGCGGGGGGCTGTTTGTTTCCAGTCTTTCCAAGGCTCCTTTCAGCACATCGTTCATTTCCTATTACAAAAAAAAAACAAAAACACAATTAGATAAAGTACATTAACATGATACAGTAAACAAACCACACAGCGAACATGAAGAAGCCCCCCCCCACACCCCACCCGCCAATTAACAATCCAATCTAACGCTGCCATCAATCACCTCTGATGATCCTGAGGAGAGAACGACTGCTGAGCTCCTCCGGTGCACCGCTGTCCCTTTGTCACTCCACGTACTGTATGTCCACCTACCTCCTTCCCCCTCCCTCTATACAGCCTATTTTTAAGCCAAATCAACGACCCCAGGGCAGACAAATCACACAAGGAAGACAGAGAGATGTCGGGGACAGGAAAGACGGTGACGAACTGTTGCGAGACACTCAAACGCAACCGAGGGGAGGGTCAGAGAAACTGTCCCAACTCACTAAAGACTAGAAGGGTGCAATTAGGTCTTTCTGCCTTGTCACTTTCATTGTGTCACCAGCACTAATGACTAAAAAGCCCCCGCCCACCAGCCAACTCCTCAGCAAAAACCCCCCACCGCCACACCCAACTCCCTCGTGGACCCTCTGCTCCGTACAATAAATATACACTTCATAGCTCTTACACCCACATGTCCATAAATCTGCTGCCAAGATTACAGTCACATATCATCTCAGCGGAGCTAAAAACGTTAAAAACATTGCATATTTATGAATTCAAAAGCATATGCTGCCTGCACAAATAGTGACCCACTTATCTGGGCAGCGTGAGATTACCCTACAATGGAGTGCATTTGTGCGGGGGCAGGAAGATGAGCTGGAGGCTTTATTGTTGTTGTGCATCTTTCCACACGATGCCATTAGCCGAGGAACATGAAACAGACATCTACCAGTACATCCAGTTTCACAAGAACTGAACCCTAACATATGTGGCGCTGGTACAATAAGTGTGATAAGCGAGAACAGACAGACAAAAGCATAAATGTGCATGTTTTTTAATGGTATACCATTAGGAGATCATGCCTTAATGCTTAGTGAGTCTAATCGCCGACTGGAAACACTGAATGGTTTAGATGTGGAAAAGCCGCTTCATAATCCCTGCTGAGCTTGGCCAATCGGTTCTCACCGCCCGGAACATCAAACACCAGGAAAACACACAGATGAGGTCAAATGTTGGACAGATTTCATTGATGAAAAGTTCAAACTTCTAAAAGCGACGTTTTTACTTCTCGACTTCTGTAACCGTTCAAACACTGGAGGTGTCATAAAGAAAGTTTGCAAATTAGGGCTGCAATAAGTTATTGTTTATGCAATCGCCATCTTCTTCTACTCATCTGTAGTTGGGTCCAGTGGGAACAGGTCTAGTCTCCACAGTATGACATTCCACAGGTGTTGTACCGATCCTCCATGTAACACTGAAGGGACGCATCAACATGGCAACCCCATAGAGCCTTTAGCATCTCAGGGTGAATCTCACCCACCTCTGGTGCCCTGCCATGGCAAAGGACTCGTCTTTCCCAAGGCCCTCAGACTCTACCTCGACAAATTAAGGAGATCCTTGAAGTGCGCCTTCCACCGCTCAACATTATCCCCAGTCTGGGTCAGCAGGATAGTTGGACTCTGCCTTGGAGATAGGGTGAGAAGTTCAGTTATCAGGAGACACTCAGAGTAGAACCGCTGCTCCTCCACATCCAAAGGAGCCAGTTGAGGTGGTTTGGGCATCTGGTAAGGATGCTCCCTTGGCACCCCCCTAGGGAGGTGCTTTGGGCATGTCCAGCTGGGAGGAGACCCCGGGGAAGACCCAGGACATGCTGGAGAGACTGGCCTGGAAACGCCTTGGAATCCTCCCAGAAGAGCTGGAAGAGGTGGCTGTGGAAAGAGATGTCTGGGCCTCCCTGCTCAAGCTGCTGCCCCAGCAACCCGACTTTGGAGGGAGGGAGGGACCGACTGATGGATGGATGGTTGGATGGATGAATGGATGAAAAACTCGTCCATCAGTTTATCTTGTGCAGACTTTACCGTTATTGCGTGTTTACTGGTCTTCCTACAAATATCCATCAGATAGCTGCTGCTGATCCAGAACGCTGCGACCCGAGCCCTCACAAAGACCAAGAGAGTAGAAGTAGATAACAGATGAAGTAGACGGGTTCCCTGTTGCTCAAATAATTGATTATAGAATTGTGTTGCTGGTTTATGAAGCACTCAACGGTCCAGGCCCAAAACACAGCTCTGAATTCCTGCTGCATTATGAACCATCAAGACCTCTGAGGTGGTCTACAGCCAAACATGCAGAAGCTGCATTCAGCTTTAAAGCACTAAAAATGTGGAACACCACCACCAGAAAACTGCTTGACCGCTCCGACCCTGAGCTCGATCCCCGAACAGTTCGTTCAGTCACCATACAGTTTGCCAGAACCTCTTTGAGGCCAGCGCAAAGTACTTTCTCCATGTCCTCTGCCGAATTCCTCCCATGCCAGAGTTTTATCATACAGCGGTCTTTCTGCAATCACAATATTTATAATAAGTTTGACCAGTCGGATGGACCCCCACTGCCTTTGATGCCAACATTTGATTTAGATCATAGTAGCTGAGATGCTAAAATGACTTCAGCGTTTTCAGTTTCGTAATGACAGGCATGAGTAGAAAGGGCAATATCATCACCACGTATTTACCAGTAATATCCCAGTTGCATATTTTCCTAATATTGCTAAGTTCTGATAGGATTAAACATATATATAAGTATGAATAAAAGAAGTATGGAAAGTACAGATTGAATACTAGTTGTTTTTAAACCTCAACAATCAATTCAAACTAAGAAAGCACGGTTATTTTATTAAAGATCAGGTAATGACAATAAGGTTTAGCTAAATAAGATGAGAAAATCCATGTGCTGAATTTGGAAAATATACTTTAACTTTTGTTTGTTTATTTATCTTCTTGTTTCAAAGTAAACTAACGATGCAATTTTTGCAGTACTACTAGCAAAAGTAGGGATTCATCTACCAGTATTTGTTTATTTTGTAATTAAATAAACAATTAAGCTGAAATTGAAAAAAAAAAGAGACTGCTACTCAATAGCTCATCAAGAAGTCTAATCCATTTATTTTTTTAAATGTCGAAGTTGCCACAGGTGTTGTGAATTAAATGTTCATTTTAATTAAGCAGCTGGGGTGTACTTTTGATTAAACAGACAAAAGAAGGCAGCCATGTCACTCATTATCTGCCTGGATGTTTAAAGGTCTAAGCCGTAAAATAATGAAATAATAAAACAAAATGACCATACGCTCGAAATCATAGCATCAAACATTTACAGCATGTTTGGCTGCAGGTGATTATAATTAATTATAAATAAACTTTTTGTTGGCTCAATAAAGATCATGAGTACCGTATACGACAGACTATACGCCCATCAACGAACCGTTACACTAAAATCTAGAGCAAGGGTCCATTTATCTCCAGGCAATATGAATTCTGAGCAACCTTTATATATATATATATATATATATATAAATCGTGACTTTGGAATGATGCAAACAACATTTTCAGGCTGTAGCTTTTCGTGTTTAAACTTAATTTTGCGGCTGCAACACTCGTCCCCAATGTGGTCACAGAGATTCGTGTGCGACTCTGAAGATCGCCCCTGAATCGTCGAACGGCCAAAGCCACAAAATGAACGGCTGCAATGGCCTTAGTGTACTGTGACACCATTAAGAAAAACCTTGTTTGAAACCTTTGACCTTGATTTGTGACCATGACCTTGGAGTTGAAGCGATTAAATCCCACAACACGTTGTGTCGTGGCGATACAAACCTGAATGAAGTTTTGTTAAATTATCTTGGGTGGATCATAAATTACTGTACTGTCTGGACAAGCAGAACTTGTTTTAAATTTGACCTTGATTTTTGACCTTGGATTGGGGGCTGGAGTGAAGGAAGGTGCATGTGACACTCCGCCTGGTGATAATCCATGTGTGTATGAAGTTTTGTTACATTATCCAGAGTGGATCAGAAGTTATAGGCGGGACAAGAGAAGGTTTACGTACAGACGGCGACTATACCAAAATTTGTCTTCCTTTTCTTCTTCTTCTTTCTGCTGCTCCTTCTTCAGGGGTCGCCACAGCGAACACTCGCACCAAGACTGGGCAATTGTTTTTATGCCACATCCTGACACAACCATAAACCACCGAGCTACCACAGCCCTCTGTGTGGAGCAGAGAGCTGCCATCTAGGTCGCCTGGGGGAGCAGATGGTGGGGGTGCTCGGAAAGTGGCAACTGAGGGTGGCGGTTATGATATTGTCAGGCTGGGGAATTGAACACAACCTTCCGAACGCAAGCTTGCCTTGTCTAACCTCTGCGCCACTACTCCACCGACTCTCAGCTACTACCACATCAAATTTTAGCTCAAAGTCTGAAAACGTGACTGAATTGTAGCCATTTTTGTGTTAATTAGCCGTGGCAGCCATCTTGGACTGGGTCGGTCCAAAGATTTATTGGTTGTAGTCGTACATCCAGGGAGTTTCTTTAAACCCACCCTGTGGTTCATGAGATATTTTGCTAACAGACACTCTTCTCCTTACATAAAGCGTTTACAGAACTACGCCATCATCACGCAAAATACATTTACCTTTTGATGAGCATATAATAATAATAATAATACTTTGTTTCCTCTAGATCAGGGCGTCCGTCGTTTTTATGTTTTTTATGGTCCACGGGGGGGTTAGGAAGGGACGGAATCGCATATGTGTTGCCCACTAGCTTAGCGCTACATTGTTGACGATTTTTATCGGGGGGTAGAAGCAGAGCGTCACGTCAGTAAAATTTTGCTTGCAAGTTTGTATTGCGCACCACGCTACATCCATACAGACAGCTGTCAACAGGGGTGGGGGGTGGAGTTAGGTAGGCAGGGCGCTCGGTTCTGTTGATTGGGTGGGGCGCCCTGCTTGTATAATGGCAGGGGGAACACTAAACACTGATAAATGAAAATTGCATTACAAGGTATTAATAATTAATTGAACAATAGTCCCTTGCTACTTGGCGTTTTGACTTTCGCGGACTCGCTCTTTCGCGGTTTTTCAAAAACTGGACACGACACACAACTGGATTATTGATGGATGAGCCGCACGATCGGCATGGATTGTTCATTTAAAATAAAAGGGGAGCGGTGGCACAGAGGTTAGAGAAGAAGGGCCTGTGATCGGAAATTTGTAGGTTCAACTCCTGGTTCTGTCAACGTCCAAATGTGGGTGGTAAAGGTGAAACAGCCACACCTGCCTCCACCCTCATTTGC